GTGTCATGTCATGTTTATGACAGGGGTCATGTCATGTTTATGACTGTGTCATGTCATGTTTATGACAGGGGTCATGTCATGTTTATGACATGTTTATGACGGTGTCATGTCATGTTTATGACGGTGTCATGTCAGTCTTATTCACCCCTTCAAATAAAGTGTTATTATTTTTTGTAGCTAAAATATTCAAAGCTAACAAAGCTAATGGATATAATGGAAGCTAATGGACACCAACAGATGCTAACAAAAGCTTAAGGATGCTAACAAAGGCCAACAGACACCAACAGACAGTAACAGACGCCGATAGATGCTAACGAGTGCTAAAGGATGCTATCAAAGAGACGCTAGCGGAAGCTAATGGATGTAACAAACTGTATTGGCTGCAAAAGGAAGCTAACAGACCCCAACGAATGCTAACAAAAGCTAAGTGATGTCAGTGAAACCAATGGCTGCTAACAAAAGCCATTGGAAGTTGACAGTAGGATGCAAACAGCAGCTAACAGAAACTAAAAGACGCTAACCGAAGCTAACATTAGAAGCTAATGGATGCTAACGGAGCCTTCTCCAGGTGCGTACCTGTACGATGGGGGTCAAGGTGTCGGGAAAGGCCGCTCTGATGATGGCGTTCTTGGTGGTTCCGACGAACAGCTCACCTGGTTTCCCCTCAGCCAGAGCCCGGACCGGGCCGAGCGACTCGCCCACCTGGACGCACAAAGAGAGAGAGAAGGAAAAGAAACCAATATACCAAAAACCACAGCTACTGGTTAAACTGGTTATCGTTACTGGAACCAACTGTTGCAGAGATATCAGTGATTTAAAACCATAAAAAAATACTGTTTACTGTTCGACAGCAAACATGATTTAACTATGGAACCTGCAGAGGGAGGAGGAAAAACAAGGAAGGAAGTATAAACAAAGGGTGAAATGGAGTGACAGGGAGAGACGTAAAGGAAAAGAGAGAAGGAAGGAAGTATGTGAGTGAGAAAGGAGGATAAAAAAGGAAAGAACGTTTAGATAATGCATCTGGAATAAAGGTTGGAAAAACAAATGTTTTCCTGCTCATGTTTTGTAGGCTTTTATCTCAGATTGTCATTATCTGACCAACAAGAAGAAACATGAATCTATTCTGTCTGCGTGCTTCATCCCTCCTTCCTCGTTCTTCCTCTACCTCCATCTCCGCCTGCTTCCTGTAGTTGTGGTCCCACAGCGCCACCTTGCGGTCTTTCCCGCCTCCGGACACCATGGTGCCGTCCTTCAGGACGCAAACGGAGAAGATGCCGCCTTCGTGTGCACCCGACACCACCTGGCTGATGCGGTTACCACCTGGTAACACACACACACACACACACACACACACACACACACACACGTTGGATGATCCCTCGTTCACAGAGACCTTCCACCAGAGAAAAGGAGCAAACCCGACCTTTGGCCCAGACGTAGAGGTTCCCACTGGAGTCTCCTGTGATGGCATCGCCGTTTTCAGCAAAGGCCACACACAGAACGTACTTTGGTTTCTCGTGTTTCTATGGAAACGGATCAAAAAATTTGTGGGTTTAATGTTTTTCACACGGTTTTTACACTGAGAATTAACATCTGCAACACAAAGAAGCAAAAAACTAAGTTCAGCAGCGAGACCATATTTTAAAAGGTTTGGACTAAGATGATGTTAGCTTCAGTTCGATTCTCATCTCCCCTCAGTGCTCAGTCTGGGATTTCTCCCATTGAGCTTGATTTCTCAGGATAAATTTACTCTTTTGCTCAAGTAAAAGTAAAAAGTTTTTGTCCGAGAAAATACTCAATTAAGAGTAAAAGACGTGTTTGGTAAAATGTCTACTCCAGCACTGAGTAACTGATCAAATTATCAATCATTTAATATTTTAAAATTACATCATCAGATGGACCAAAACATAAAGTTTTAAAAACCAAAATGATAATAATTAACACAAGTAACAAAAAAAATAACAAAAATCAGTTAAAATATTTTTTTTCCAAATCAGTTTAACAGAAGCTGCAGGTTTGTGTGTCTGAGTCTGGTGGATTTCTGGTTAAAACATGTTTGTTTTTCATTCAGAGGGAAGAAAATCCAGAAATTTTACTCAAGAGTAGAAATACTTCATAATAAAATTACTCTAGTAAAAGTAAAAATACTCATGTCAGCGATATTTTTTTGAAGTTACTTAGGTGATTGTACTGATCAGCTCAGGATCCCGGCCGTCTGGACGAACCGAAGCGTAGAAACAAGCGCCCAGTTTTCTTCAGGCTCAAACCGTTTTACATTTAAAATCTGGTGTTCGTGGCGGTTCTACCTCAAACAGTCCCTGCCTCTTGGTGAGCGCGTTTCCCTCCATGGTCCAGAAGTTGATGTGCGACTTTCCACAGGTGACGATCAGATTCGTGTCCATGGGATGAAACACGGCAGCCAGCACAGAGTCGTTGGAGCACTGCAGCAGCAAAACGTTATTCCTTCATCTGCGGCTTTCATCAGCTCATGATTAATGAGATGAAGGCGAGTTTACCTTCACTTCAGCGAGTTGTTTCTCTTTCTGCCAGTTCCAGACTGACAGGATGTGATCGTTGGCGTCGTCCACGGCGCAGAGGAAGGAGCCGCCGTTCTGAGTGGACGAAGAGAAAAACGTCACAGAAACATAAAACTGATTTCCAGCTGCTGCACAGCAGATAGCGAAACAATCCTGTTCATTTCCACCAAAAAACTCAGAATGTTTTAGATTCATCTCCGAAAATTTCTAGAAAAAACATTGGAAATTTCTGAGTTTGAAAAGTCAAAAAAATTGCTTAAAAAAAAAAACAAAATCTGACATTTTGAGGATAATCTAAAATTTTCTAGAAACAAAATGTGACAATTTCAGATTTTCAAGTTTAAAACGTCCTAGAAAAAAACTGAAATACTTAGGTTCATCTAAAGTTTTCCAGAACAAAAGAAATTTCTGAGTTTGAAAAGTTTTAACATTTCCTTGAAAAAAACTCAGAACTTTTTAGATTCATCTCAGAAATTTTCACATTTCTAGGAAACTTTGAAAAATTTACTTGGAAAAAAATTCCACAATTTTGAGATCAACCAGATATTTTCTAGATACAAAACGTGAAAATTTCTGAGTTTGAAAAGTTGAACATTTACTTAAAAAAGAAAATTGCTTAGAGAAAATGTCCTCTCTTTTTAATAATTTTTATAAACTGTCAGATTTTTGGTGGAAGTGTGAGATTTTCTGCCCTGACGGCGTCCAGTCGCTGCTTACCGACTTGGAGAAAGAGACGCAGGTGACGGCTCTGTCGAACGCCCCCATGCCGATCACATGCAGCGTGTTGAGGCTCACCGAGTCCCAGATGCGGACGTGAGGAGCGAGAAGCTGAAGAGGAAAAACAAACAACTACAGAATTAAACATTTACTGAAGAAAACTACAATCAGAAAACTTATTTTATTAATTCCACTGAGAAAAGCCATTAAAATCAGTTTTTTCTTGCATCCCAAGCAACATTTTAATTGGAAACTTATTTTATAAAATAGATTGTTTCTAAGCTCTTGATCAGATAAAAAAGAAGAAAAAGGAATAAATGTCAAAACGGATTAACAAAGCTGCAGTTGGGTTAATAAAACAAACGGAGGTGCTGCTGAAAGTGTGGCGTCCACTTTACCTTTCCATCCTTGGAGTTTCCAGCCACCTGACCCGTTGCTATGGTTACCATGTCAGGATGAACGCTCAGGCTGAGGAGAGAGAAAGTGAAAAACGATTCACATCTAAACATTTTGCAACGTTTGCAAGTTCAAACATTCAGCAAAATAAAATAATTTTTAAAAACATGTACCATTAGCAGCCTTTAAAGGACTCAGAGTGTCGACATTGTTTTTGTTATGGCGTCGTCTTTGTGAGAGAATAAAAGGTAAATGTTTCCTTAAAAAGCAGGAAGCTGAAGGAGTCAAACTGACAGCAGTGGGACAAGAAACGGCAGAGTCGTTTTTTTTCCCAGCATGCCTCAGGAGGCGTTTAGTGTTTACAGGCCAGCTGGTGCCAGATGATTAGATCATAGATTTAATTAGATAAACAGACACTTTTCACACAAAAGAAACTTCTGTTTGCACTGCAAAAACACAAAATCTCACCAAGTGTTTTCAGTCTAGTTTCTATTCCTCCTCTGTGTGTCATTTATTTTTGTTTTTATAGGTGCAAAATCTATTAAATAAAGGATTAAAGGACTTCTTAAACACACATGAAATTATCAAAGCAACATCACAGGAATGTTTTTAATGTGGGAATAACATTGTAACATGATGCATAGCTAAAAAAAGTCGATTTTAAACGATACTGCCTCTTTAAAAGGTGTGGAGGTTTTCTGCTGTACACTGCAAAAACTCAAAATCTTACCAGGTATTTTTATTCTAGTTTCTACTCCAAATATCTTAGTTCACTTGAAATAAGACAGAAGTAACATGTAGGTAACATTTCAGCAAGATTTCAGAGCTTATTTTACATCAATAATTCATCAAAATTGATGGAAAAAAACTAGTTCCACTGGCAGATCAGTTAGTTTTGTCTTATTTAAAGTGCACTAAGATATTTGGAGTAGAAACTAGAAGAAAAATACTTGGTAAGATTTTATTTTTTACAGTGTGTGAATCATTTTGGTAAATGGTATCATTAATCCAGATCAAAAACATCAAGATCCAGACTCTGAATATTATTACACAAACTGATAATCTGACATTTTACTCCACTATTCCTTCACTGCTTTTCATAAAAGTTATATTTCTGTGGAGAATTTTCAGAATTGAAAATGACCAAAATATGCAGAACACCGGACCATAAAATGGTTTTAAAAGTGGGAATTAATTCAAAAGTTCTGATAAAAGGCGAGTAAAGTTTGAGGAGGTTTAAACTGCGAGTGGGAGCTTCCCCAGAAAAGTCTGATTCATACTGGGAACAACAGGAAATTCTGCAGATTCCTCTGGTGGAAGAAAGAAAGAGATGGTGGTTTTCTGGTGAAGTCAGACCATTAAGGGAGAAATTATACAATTAGGTTCCTCTTTGTTTGAAAACTGCTTCAAATTAAAAGTTTTTCTTGGAAAAATTCAGCTGCTTGGTGATCGAGTCTGAACTGGATGCTAATGAATCTGTCAGTAGATGCATCTACATTAACCATAAAATCACAAAACTGAAATTATAATAAATTTATTGATGGAAACAAGGCAATTTAGAGGAAAAAAAAACATTTTTGAGCTAGAATGAGGCGGTTTTCATATTTAAAACAGTGTTTTTGTATCACATGATTAACAACAGGATGTTACTACTGACAGAAACACCAAAGAAGACAGGAAGTGGTAGCAGGATGATGGTTTGTTTTGGTTTTTCTTCCATCAGAGCTGTCACAGCTTCATAAAATTAAAACATTTTTGACATCAGCAAAATATTAACAAAGATTTGTATTGCAGCTAGTGTTACAGATATTAACATAGACGGATCCAAAGGCTTTATTATGGTATCAGCGTTTGTTTCCTCACCATTTGACGTCATCGTTGTGTCCCAGGTAATGTCTCTGCTGCTGCTCCTCAGTGTTGTACAGAACCACCACCGACGCGTTGAAGTACACGATCTCCCCGGTGGGCAGCAGGTAGAGGTTGCAGCGGCAGTCGCGGCCACGGTAGCCGTAGCTAGCCCACCGTTTAGTTAGGGAAGGTGACCGAAGCTGTAAAGATCGGCAGGAAGCCATTTTTTTACGTAAAACATCCACAAACAAAGATGGACGCCAAAGCTGGGGGTTAATTTCTGCTTCAAAAACCGATCTGATTGGATGCTGGGACAGACTATTGCTGTGCTAAAAGGAGTTAGCTAAAATAGCATCTCAATGCTAAACATGTAGCAGGAGCGCAGATGCTAACACTAATGTTAGCAGCCAGAATTTCTAAAGAAGCTGAATGGAAGAAGTAGAAGTTAGTACCAATCTGACTGTTGAATAACCTAAATAAGAGATTAAAAACAATAAATATCTCTGTTGTTGAGCTCATATCTGTTTATTAAATGATTTAGCAGCAAAAAACAGGAGTTGAACTGAAAAAATATTTAGTTTTGTTGACATGGTTTTCGATTAAAACGAGGTTAAATAATTAGACTGAAATTAACTCAACTGATTAATTACATGAGGTTTTCGCCAAGTGGATAAAATCTAAAGTGGTGATGAAATAAACACAGCAAGGCAACAAGCTACTGTGATGCTGCTAGCAGTGGATAAAAGACCATTAAATTACATTAGTTCATGTGTAATGGTGACATTTTTCTCTTTCCTGGAGCCAACCTTTAAGAGGTTTTTTAAATAAATGAGAAGTGTGGCTTTCACAGTACTTGACACAGAATTACAAAAAACGTATAATTTTAAGAATTATACAATATTTAAAATTACAATTTTAAAAAACTGATTTAATGTTTTTTCTATTTTAAAAAATATTTCTCCTGCACTGCTTTGACCATAGAGTCTTTCCTGGCTGTCGTCGCCCTTTCGATTGGAAGGATACACCCACTGAAGCTTCAGCTTTTTGTCCGGCAGCGCCACCTTGTGGTCCAGGTTGAAGCCGTCCCGCTGCTGGTCGGGGACGTGCATGGTGACGGGACGACCGCGCAGGAACATCCTCACGTAGCCGTCCTCTGAGGAGAAAAACGGTTTTAAATACACAGACTGCGAATCCGTCGTCAAACAGAGAGAAAAGTATAAACATAAAACAGAAAGGAAGAAACTGGAGGGGGGAAAAAACTTTAAAACATTTACTTTTACATCAAATAAGCAAAATAAGGAGCTGAAGTCCAAGAATTAAGTTTCTGCAACAAAGTTTATGTAAAACCAGCTGCTACCATTTAAAGGTTTTTCAAAGTTTCTCAAAATTAATTCCATTTTACAGGGATTTTAGGTGAGAGGCCAAAAGTGGAAAATTAAAGAGACATGGTGACTTTTTAAACATGTTCCTACATCACCTGTGAAAAGCAGGTTTTTTTTCTTTCTCTCAAACTTTTAATGATGTACCTGGAGCATTTTAACTGGCTGTGCCAAAGTAAACAGGGCTTGGAAAAAAAAACTCTTTACAAGGCTTATTTATCCAACACCTTGTCTCGGTTTATTAAGAAATAAACTGAAGTTTGTAAAAAACAAAAAAAACCCTAAAGGCAAATATTTATATATGTCTTTAAAAAAGGTAATTTTACCTGCATTGTAGGTGCATTCTTTGGATTTGCTGAAAAACAGAAAAACAGGATTTTAAATCTGATCAGCAGATGAAATCGTTTCCCACTCTGAAGATTAAAAATGTTTAAAAAGTGAGCCGTGGATCCAGAGAGCCCATCACGCATACATTTAGTAAATGCATGAAACGGAGCAGCTCCCTTTCACATCATTTCATCTCCAGGCTTCAACCCTCATTACTTCATTCGACTGGACAGCGAGAGGAAACATGGGAGTCAGCAGAAACACGAAGTGGACCTCAGCGTTCAGCTCATGAATAAACAATCAGATTAAAGATACCAGCAGCTGCTCCGACACGGCGTGCAGGCTGCAGAACGCTCCAGGTGTTTGGAGCATAAAGTCACAAAGCCGCAGCGCTGAGGGGTGAGAGGCGGCTGCAGCAACAAGCTTTCAAAAACGGCCAAAGATGAAGAAAATAATTAAAAACATTGGAAATAATCAAGCAGCACGAACAGCTAGCATCCACATTTAAAGCTACAGCATTCCACCTTTACAAGATTATTTATTTAAAAACATATTTATTAAAAGTTTCAAGGAATATAATGGCATAATAAAGCAGGAACACATCCTCAAAGATCATTAAACTTCAAATTATAATGAATATTTAATACTGGAACTGGACGACATTTTAACTATCCAAAACAAACAAAAACAACAAATAAAATGAATTATGAAATCTTTCAGAAAAAGAAACGGACTCAAACATTTTATCATCCAGTTTTTGGTAAAAAAAAACAAACGACAAATCGTGCAAATGGAAGTTATTGAGCTCAATTTATCATGTGATTGATTTATTGCAACATGCCTCGTCTTAGCGCTGTCAATCATGCTCGTGTATACGCTGTTCAATGTGCTGATGGAGGAGAAACAACTTCTCATCGTCATCAGTGGCTATGCTAACTAGCCTTAGCATTCTGTAGTGTACACAAGTGTGATTGACAGCACAAAGACCCTCCTGCCTCTGGTTGCTTCTGGAGGAGCAGTGGGCTTTTAGGGTAAATTTTTTCACTGATTATTTGTCTCACAACACAGTGATACTTTAATACATAAACATTTTTTTCTTATAAAAGTTACATTCCTCAGTTTTAAGACGGATCTGTTTTGGAAAGTTTTCTATTCGGCCCTCAGGCTTCGATCTCCTTTGATAAAGAGAGGAAACACTGAAGGTTTTGTGCTCCAATGTTCCCATTAAAAATAAAAGAAATGACTTTTGATCAATTATGACACAGAATACAGAGAAACTATTGTACCCATAGAAAGGGAAGATGACAGCGTGGGCCCAAACGCAATGCAGGCAGCAAAGCTCTGCAGCTTTATGTTGGAAATCTGTGTTGCTAAATGCAAAATTGCAACGATTCAGCCGTCCATCACGACTCTGCAGCTCCTGATTCAGCCGTCAGTCAGCCGGCCAGAGCTGCTGCTGTCTGAGCACTTCACTGGTTGCTGACTGGCAGGACGACCTGTCCACCAATCAGCCGCGGCTACAGGAGAAGTGATGACATCTGGATAAGGGAAAAGTTTTAACTTTAACCCAAAAACTGAAAGGTGTGGAGACAGAACAACCAAACAGGCTGGGAAGGAGGTAGGAAAGAAAACGATGCTAGTAAAGGAGGAACTCTGAAAACATCAGCCGCCGTTCTGCAAAGGCTTCACTGAAAACAGAAGATGAGTGAATGCAGAATATTTTTGCATTTCCACTTGGGTCTCAACTGCTTCTAAAAACAGGTGAAACACTTAAAAACATTAAAAAGTAGAAATAAAAGCAAGTTTCTGGCTGTAAGTGAATGTTTTTTGGTGCCTGGAAAATGAGCCGTTTATAAAACCTACAGAATGTGACGTCATTAATCAGCAGGGACTGCCCGTTACCTAGCAACCCCAGCGAAGCCCAGTCTGTTGCCCAGCAACCCCAGTGAAGCCCAGTCTGTTGCCCAGCAACGCCAGCAGAGCTCCAGCACGTTTGGTCAGCTGATTTTACTGCTGTACAATGACTGCTGGAAAAGACGGGTGTTTTGTTGTTGACTGACCATCCAGAAACCACTTACTACTTTCTTGTTGGTTGTGCAGGAGGCTCTACTAATGCTTCTCAAAGATGTACATTTGTATAATTGCACGTGTCTGCAGCCATTTTCACGTTTGAGTTTAAACGTTGAGTTGAGGTCGTGGCCAGCAGCACCTTGTTTAGATTTAAATTGACAGGACGTCCTAAAACAACTAAAATCTGAAAGGAAGGCAGAACTAAACAGACTGAAATCTTTTATCCAAGAACAATTTTTTACAAAAAAAGTGTAGAGTAGGATTTGAATAGACCTTTTCTAACCTGTTCAGTGAAGCACAATATGTCTCCTTTATTGAGTCAAAGGAGATGTAAGCCTGTTTCAATATGAGGCGCAGATCAGAGAGCAGATCAGAGAGCAGATGTCTGATCTGGTTCTGGTCAGGTGGAGGCCAGCAGCCCGGGTGTTGGCTCTTTTAACTAACCACATAAAGGCCCGGTTGTTTGCGTGTCGCTCTGGCAGGGAGACGAGGCGTGGCGCGGCTGCAGCCAATCACAGGCCGCGGCTGACCCTGTAATTAGAGCAGAGCTGGCTGGGAAACTGGTAGAAAAACACTGTAAATACCGGCACATCTAAAACCTCCTCACTGTGAAACGTGAGCGAGTCTCCTGCTTTCCAGGCGGAGATGAACAAACAGAACCTTCATTAACATGCAGAACATTTTCCGCCTGGATGGCTGCGCTCGGAAAACACACAGAGGGGACGGACGAGCTGCAAGGATGCACCAGGGGAACGCAGTAATCCTCCTGAGTACGATTCTCCAGAGCTGCACATTTCTAATGAACAAACGTCAAGCAGAAACAAAATGTCTGCTGGTTTAAAGTTCAGAGGATTCAACAACAAGGGCAGCAATCAACGAAAAAAAGAAAAAAACAGCAGATCTGTGATGGATGTTAAACTAAAAGAAACAAAACCTGCTACCAGCCTGCTATGGAAGGCAGTTTTATCATTTACTACAGATGGGATCTTCAACAAAGATCAGATTAAAAACCAAATCTGATTGTAAAAAGTTACTGTAGGTTCAGTAAACAGGATGAAACTGTTCTGGGTATGACGAATTTTATTTTTACCAACAAGAACTGACTCAAAAATGTCTAATACGGCAGAAAACTCTATTAATTGTGATTTTTGTTGCATATTTTCTCAAGAAAATAAACGACAGAAACTCGTCGGAAAATGTCTTCGTAGAGACCCAAATTCAACCCCTTACCTCAACATGCCTTCATAAAATATTTTAAGACATTTAGTTCAATTAGCTGTTGGAAGTGTGGTTTGATTATATATTCAAACAGCTTGCCATATTCCTGCTGTTAACCTGTCAGTTATTTCAGTTTTCAGCCCTGAAGCAGCAAAACCAGATCAGAAAGTTTTATTTCAACAAGCCTGCCAAAATTTAGAAATAAAAAAAAAACCTGAAACGTCTTAGATAAGCAGGTCAAAGTTCATGAGCTCTGCTTAATTAAAAACAACCGATTCCTGCTGGTAACACCACAAATGAAACCTGAACCCAAAAGCAGTCAGAATAATTTATGACTTCTTTTCTAACTTTTTCATTTCAGCCTCATGTTTCATTTTCTGAGGCATTTGACTTTGCATTAAAAGATATTTCCAGTAAAACATTTTCCTTATCCTCCAGTTCATCTGATTGGCATTTCTTAAGACTAAACTAAAAGGGATCAGAAAACAAAGCGGTGCAGTCAAAGGCGCACGGAGGAAATGGACGTTTCTACCCCACTAATGGTTTGTGGCGTCCTTCAACTGCGGGATGATGGGAGCGGTCATCCATCAGCTGATCCATTATGACTTAAGTGCTGCAGCAGTCGACTTTATAAACACGTTTTCTGCACGTTTCCACTCAGGAACTGCAAATTATACAAAAACCGGAATAAATCCTGCAGGATTTATCACGTCTGAAAACGGATTAATCAGATTACTTGCTCACAAAATGATTCCAGTGATTTAAAATAAGTTTTATTTAGTGCTAAATGAAGCAGAATGTGCAGTGAAATCATTTGAATCAGGTTTTTGTGTAGAACATGCAGGGCAGTGCGGTCGGAGAAACTCAACCCAGTTCCTGTTGGTGCAGCAGAGTTTGCTGCATGTCGAGAGGAAATGTGATCAATTTCAGCACAAGCAGCGTTCATAACCGTGATCAGAACTCTGCTGCAAAGCCAAACTCCCTCTGCAGCGCTCCGACTCGCCAGGTGATCCCCAGGTAAACCCCCACATACACAAAGAAGAAGCTGCGGCTGGTTACCATAGCGACCAGATCAGATCTGCTGAGCCCTCCACCTCTCCTTCCTTATCTGTTTGTCTTTTACGTCAGGAGACGCCTGTTTGCTGTAACTAATGACACAGAAGTTTCTATGTGGAGAGAAAACGTTAAAGAAACGCCGTCAGTCTCATTTTGCCTCCAGTCGGGTTCTGCTGCCCCTCCCCACCGCGCCGCACACACAGACCCAACCACATCCAACTGTTCGCGTGACAACACAAACCTCCTCAGGCTTAGAAATCTATAACACGACGTGAGTGGAAACCCGTCCACAGTGGAACAGAACCAGCAGGAAGTGGTTCCGGCGGGTCTCTGAAGCTTTGCTGTTGGCGTTTACCTGGAGGATCGCTTCATGTCTGCCGTTTTCCCGTTAGAGCAGCTTCCAGCTTCCTGCAGAGCCGTTTGTGTCCCGTTCAGCAGCCGCACAGACACACACTTCCTCCTTCGCTCTGCAAACTTTTAGCTCAGCATCGCAGCCAATCAGAGGGCAGCTTCCAGCCCGGAGCCCCGCCCCCTCATGTTACCCAGTAACCACACCTCTTTACCAGGAAGGAAATCCGAGCCGTCAGCAGAAACACAGGACAGCAGCAGCAAACAGTCACATTTATCCGAGGAATTCATCACAATGTTACTTTAACCTGAGCAAAACTGAAGTTATGCTACATTAAATGTAGATCAACAACATTTTACTATGTTACAAACTTCATTGATTTTAATGTAAAATAAAGTTTTAAGCTTTATGTTAATTTTTGGCAATATGGACTTAAAACTGTGTCATAATACTTTGTTGTATTTATAGTGGAAACAATAATTATGAAAAACTAGTTCAAGTTAATCACCTGTAGTTACTTAATTGCAGTTTATTTAATTAAAATGTTTGGATTTGCCTCTTTCCACAGACTTCCAGTTTGTTACTTTATTTTATTTCAATAACCATCTCTGCTGACTCAACAGAAACAACGAGTCATATTGAGTATATAAATATCTATGAAGCTTGTTCGTTTCTGTTTGTTCTTTTTAAGTAAATGAACTGAAAATGTAATTGTTGTCTAGCTGGTGGCTCAGAGGCAGTTTTCAGCCTCCTGCCCCCCAGCAGCAGATGTTACCTTTTCCCACCGGAGGAGCTGCTGGAGGACGTGGTCCGACTCCGACTCTCTGCTGCCATCTCTCTGCGGACCAGGGTAAGTCTTTCTGTGGACATGCTCTTCCTGCAGACGGAAAAACAAAAAAACAACAGATCTGAATGTCCAGAGCTTCAGGACTTTAAATTATGATTTTAAACAGGTTTGATGAAACTGGAAATAAGTATTGCTGCTCATATTTATCCTAAAAACTTCATGTTTTGGATTATGCAACCAAAATAATCACAAGATGATTAGAACAAAAAAAGGAAGGAAGAAAGAAAGAAGGAAAGAAAGAAAGAAAGAAAGAAAGAAAGAAAGAAAGAAAGAAAGAAAGGAAGAAAGAAAGAAAGAAAAGAATCAAAAAAAGAAACAAAGAGAAACAATTTAAGAAAGAAAAAGCAGGAATACAGACAAAAACAAAGTGATAAAAATATATGAAAAAGAAAAAGAAAGAAAGGGAAAAAAACTTTTTTTCTTGGGAAGAAGTGTATAAACAAACAGGTTTTTTCTTTTCCATATGCTGTATTTAAATCTTTCTGGATAATTCAAAGACTTGGGAACCCACACGGAGCCTTTTGGCCTAGTTAAAGTTTCCGTCCCCATCCTACCTCTTGATGGACTGCAGCACCTCTTTCTTTGGCGACGACGGCGAGGAGAGGAGGCGTTTCTGTTGAACGTAGCCGTTACTCAGAGGCCTGGAGGGAAGAGCCTGCAGCAGCTGACGCACTGGAAGGCGACACATTGAAAACCTCACGGCATCGTCAACCGGCTCCAAAAAGTAACAATTTCAGCTCCAGCAGCGATGGATTATGTAGGAAAGGAAATGCATGAAAGAAGGCAGCGTTTGCAGTCTGGTTTAATAGTTTTCTTTTAAAACAGGCAGAAATGATTCAGAAGAAACAGAAGCTGTAATACTGTGACTGAATCTCTAAAGTTCTTCATAAATGGAAACACTGTATCTGCTTTATGAAGGACATGAGGGTAATTAAAGTAAATTATCATTTTACAACGTAATCAATATGTCAACCTTAGTTGTTTAAAACAGACTATATGTGGGCGACTGTGGCTCTGTAGAGCAGTCGTCCTGCCACGTGTCGATGTGGCCCTGGGCACTTAGCCCCAAGTACTGCCTACCGATCTGCATGTCGGGGAATAAATGTGTGAGCGTTTGTGAATGAGACTCTAGTGTGGTCAAAAATTATTGGATAGAAAATCAGTATATAAGTCCATTTACCATTTATATATCAAATATTACTTTACTTTGTAGTTTAACACTTTGAAATTGGGTCTGTGTCTCTTTAAGAAACTCCTGCTGTTTCTNAAACTCCGCCTTCAGTTAGTCATCCAAACATGGCCCTCTATTAACCCTTTCACAACATTTTTACCAGCGTTTCACTAAGAAGTAGCTCCTATAGTGAGCTCAGCACTTCCACCAGGCGTTTGCTAATTGCTGCTGGCTAGTCTGAAGGAGCCGAGTGGGGAAGTCTCAGAGTCTGGAAGCTTGGGAACTGCAGCTAAGAGCAGCATCACGAAGGCGGAGCTAGGCCCACCCAGGCGTTTTGCAAAGCCGAGTGGTTGCCATGGAGATAAATCATGCATGAAAGAATCAAAGCAACACTTTGATTTAGATGAGGGAAATAATATTATAACATTATATAAAGGCCAAAAAAGTTGCTTTTATATGACACTGCCCCTTTAAGTCAAAACAACAACAAAAAAATGCTACAAATGTTAATTATGTTGTAAGATAATGACTGCTCAAATATCTCAACAGGGCCCCGTTGAGATGAAACCGTAGGTCAGTAAAAAGGCAAAGTTTTACCCTTGGTAGGCGGCGTTGAAGCGGCAGCAGCAAGCGGCCTCCTGCCAGCGTGAGCGCCCCCTGCATGCGGCCCCTGGCTGTGCTCCTCGCAGTAACCGAGGCGACGCAGCGCGTCGGCCAGAGCCGCCTTCAGCAGCTGGATCTCGTCCTCCTGCAGCTGCAGCCTCTGCTCCAGGTGGGACACTCTGTCCTCCATGTCCATGTTGCTGCTGGCCGACACCGTGTCATCTGGAGAGAAGGTCCAAAGATAAATCACGCTTTCATCAAAACAACAATGAAGAGGAAGTGTAGAAGTGAACATATAACGGTGGCTTCACACTGGACAATGATAAAGACGAACATAAAAGCAAAAACAAACACTTTAAATTAAATAAAATCATCCTTTTTGGCTAGAGGAGTTTCCAGAGATGAACCAGTTTGAATTATTTAGGGCGAGTCTGAGCCAGACAGGAAGGAGAAAAGACAATCAAAGTAAACCAACACCAGTTTAAACTGACAGGCTGGAGGAGGAAGGATGGGGAAACGATCCGAGTTCAGCTGCAGAAACAAAACAACGCTTTGTTTCCTTCCTGAAATTAAGTGAACTAGTTTAATGTGAGAAAATGTTGTGTGTTGTTAAGGCAGAGTGTGAACCAGTTTTAAAGTGATCCAGGATCAGTTCAACATGTTTCCTGTTAACTAAAATATGTTGTCTGTGATAAATAATAAACTCATACTTACTATAACTTATCTAATGGGAAACACATTATTATATTACTTCAAAAATGTACATCTACCTTTACCTGAGCTGTTTTCATATAACGTTTGACTGGTGCCATTTTAGATAATGCCACACTGTGTCTGTAACAAAAAAAGAAAAAGAGAAAATAAAAAAGAAGAACCTGGATCGCTTCTCACACAAGAGCCCGGTGGTAGAGAGCCGGACCGAACCCAACTTCCAAAGGACCTATTTGTGCTCTCAACAATTCTCTCCAGAAGACTTTGAGTCATTCGTATGAGCAAAACTTACGAAGGCTCTAACAGGTGAGTGTTACCTTAACGAGCTAAAATTAAATCAAATGATGGCCCAGTTTCATTTTTCTGGACGATTAAACCAGATTTTTATGTTTATGTAAAATCCCAAAGGTTCATGACACGCTTTATTCTGACAAAAGTTTCCAGATACTTCAGAGAAAAAGAAAGCCTACAGCTCAGCGTTCGTTTCATCCACAGGTTGAACTTAAAAAAATGAATAAAGAAAATGATAATGACATACTTAATTGCATTTAATTGTAATTTAGTTTAATATTAAACTAAATTAATATTAATAAATCTGAGAAGAAAATCCACATAAAGCAGATGGATACATGTAAATTTGTCTCTTCAGCGAAAAATACCACCGATTGTAGCCAAAGTAACCAACAACTTCCTCCTGATCTGATTGATCACCTGAATCGATCGCCAGCTTGAGACATTATAACGTCTCAAGGTTATAATGATCCGGAGGACAAATCTGCGCTCTACTGCCAAACTGGAAACTGGAACTACAAGCACCACTTCAGCCAAAGTTTTGAAATCAGGGAACATTTCTCGAGACGACGCGATCAGCATGGAGTTTGAATGTTCTCCTTGTGCATGTAGGTGTTATTTCCAGGTACTCCAGCTTCGTCTCACAGTCCAAATTCATACCTGTAGGGGTAGCTGGCCCTCTCTAAGCTGCTGCACAGTCCAGCAGACAGACGACGGACGTCCATTCATGCCGAATACATCGGCCAGATTAATAGATTTTTCTAAAATCTCAATGAAAAAGTGATGTTATGCTTCTGCCATTAAAAATTAATTAGTTTCAGGTTGGCGTTCAGTCTAATAACCCAACCGTCTTTCACTTTGCCGCTCTTATTTCAAACCCATTCCAACACAATCATCATCCGCAGCACGGCAGGCGTCGCTGAAAGCTGGTCAGATTACCAAAGGCAAACTGCCTTCTGGAGATTATTCGTCTGACCCACATCGCCGGATTACAGCCTGCTATGAACCAAAAAACATTTTACTTTACATATAAACACAAAGACAATTCTGGCATAACTTGAAAGTACTTAAACTGCAAAAAATATATGGTTTTTGTGTTATTATGTTTGCAAATAACTTTCAGTTGAAGCCTTATTTTAAAAAAATGCTGTGCAAAATCAGTTTTCTTTTTTGTTAAATCCCAATAATAAAAGGAAATGCATTTCATAATCTGCAACACTTTATAGTTCATTTTGTGACGGAAACAATTATGGTAATCAGATCAATTGATTATTGAAATAATCAACTAATTTACATACTCAAAAAGAGAGCATTTGTTGAAAGAGCAACATATTCAACACGGTGTAGAAGAAATCAATATGTACATTTCTAATTTAAACAAAAATACCTTCGCTGTAAATATGTTCTACCAAGAAAAAGTGTGTCGTAAGGCTGTAGAAATGGTCTAGTCAAAGTCCAGAACGGAACCTGATTGAAAAGCTGCAGGAATGTTCTTTCAGTGGACTACACACTTTAAAGTAAATAATTTAAAAAACCTTCCTATTCAGCTGGGTGAACCGCACAATTAACAAAACAAAGATAAAAATGCTAATAAAGACGGGCTGTAGATTTATATAAAACCATAAAGTGGAGTTAATGATTTTCACCAGTGCGTTACCTCAGAGCGACATGAGCAGCTCAGTTACATCCACAGTAACATTTCACTGTCAAATGAGGCAGGAAAAGGCTGCAAGGAAATCAAACTTCTGATTTACATGCAATTATCAGCCTCAGGGGAGATTTGCATGGCAGAAGTGACCAGAATAACGAAGCATTATCTTTACTTCTCATCACACTTTCAGTTCGTTTTTAATAGGTTGGTAAGGTTTTAAACAGCTACCAGTTGAAGGAAGAATACCTTATGCACGTCCTGAGTGACCCATTTGTCCTTTATTTCACAAATTACATAAAAAACACCAACCATTAAAGTTGAATATCCAATTAAATCCGTCTGTTTCCAAACCGTTTCTGGTGGAGTTTGTAAACAGAATAATGCTGAATTATATTAAGTTCTCATCAAGCGTTCACCTTGTTTCTAACAGGAGGCGCTGGATAAGGTTTTAAATAGCTACTGGTTTAAAGAGAAACATCTTTTATTAATTTTCAGAGTGGCTTATTTGTCACTAATCTCACAAATTACGTCCAGGAACACCACAAAAAATGATGTGGAAAATCCGATTAATCCCGTCTCTTTCCTAACAGAAAACCACCATTTTATGGAAATTAACCGAAACTGACGAGGAAGTGGACAGAATGTTGGTGGGAGGAGATCCTGAGTGAGAAATATGAAGAGAAACGTCATGTTTATCTAGGCTGCAGTAAAAATTAGACACACAGGCGGCAAACAAGGAGAGACGGGGATTGTTTCAGCATCTCAGAACCAGCAGATTTCAGCTGAAATGCAGCCTTCTCCAAACACAGACGGTAAAAACAGCATCACGAAAGTCTGTTTTCATCAGTTCAGCGTGAAAATACTGTGAAACATTTTAAACTACAGAAGCATTACCTTTAACATGCAGAAGAAAAAAACTGTTTTAGAAAAGATCCCAGATTTAAACTCAGCCTGATGCGGCTTAAGCACATTAATCAACTGGGTGAGTGGAAATGTCTCGATGTCATGATGCAGTCAATAAAACCTGTCATGAACTGCATACTTTAAAACAGAAGGAATTCAGTGGCACCAATATAAAATATGCCCAGAATATCATTTCTGAAGTTTCTGGCTGGATGTGAAATATTAATTTCCCCGTAAATCTAAAAAGTGGTTGTGAAAGGAACGAGCTCCAACATGCATGTTTTACATGTGAAGGGATCAAAGCCCACTCTTCATGGAAGAATTATTGTTTAGTCTGTTGTAGCTCATATCTTATTATTTCAATGACATTTAAGTCTGGACTTTGAGTGTGCCACTCCAGAGCTTTCAGTCTTGTTTTTGAGAGTCGTCAGCTGGACTCACTAATTTGCTTTGCATCATTATTGTGCTGCTGCCCAAGTGTGCTTGAGCTTAAAAGGGCAGCATGGTGCCATTTTATAGGCACATGGTGCCATTTTATAGCACAACCAAGTAACTATCAGACCGTCTGTTTGTTACTAAAAGGCTGTAGATATAAAAAAAATAACTTAAAGGAAGTTTAAATTTGTAATTTGAGGTCTTGAAATTGGGTCTCTGTCTCTTTAAGAAGCTCCTGCCCTTTTCAGCACGTCACCATGACAGTGCCCCTCATTATGCCGTTTACAGCCGTTTTTAGGAGCGCTGGATGAGAAGGAGGTTCCATGTACTGCAACCAGGTGTTTAATTGCTGCTGCCACTAGTCTAGAGGAGCTGAGTGGAAGACTGCGCTCGGTAAGAGCAAGCGTTTAGGCACCCCCAATAGCTGCTCAAACATGCATGAAAGAATCAAAACAAGACACCAGGTATGTTTTTGATAACAGAAAACATTAAAACATGATGTAAAGCTTAATAAAGTCAATTTTCCATAATAAGATCCAAGTGTTGTAAGTGGAACTTGCAATTATTTACTTAAAACCAGCTGGTATTTCTTGCTGAAACATCACTTGAAAGATAGTTTTGTCTTATTTCAGGTGAACTAAAGTATTTGCACTAGAAAGTAGATAAAAATAAGATTTAGTGTTTTCAGTGTGATTTTACACCACATCTGTCCACAGAATATTTTCCCAAATGTCTTGGGATAATGTACAGATGGGATTGTGCATTTTTGTGGCTTGGAAGTTGTTCCCATCTTGGAACTGGACACAGTTTGCAGCAGCATGACCTTAATCTCCCATTTATGCTCAAAAATCCACCAGTGTGGCAAAATCAATTCTGCAAGGCAGAAATCAATCACTGAGAGTTATTCCCAAAGGTTATCAGCTTTAGGTGGGGAATTATATATATAGTTTTTTCTTTTACTCAGGGACTGGTTGGTTCAGACAGATGTTTTATTTCTTTTATAAATTAAATAACATTTTGGATTAGATTATCTTTGGTATTAAGCTGTTCAAAAACTGACAGTTTCCTATAACTTGTGTTTCTGAGGTAATATCTGGCTGGTTCTGACAGAACAGCATTTTGTGTTAGCTCAGACTGAAATCTGTTCAAACTCTTTCAGTCTTCCATCTGTAAACTCGTGTTTCTGAAGTAATGTCTCATTTCTTACAGGTCCAGAAGAAAACAGGATGAA